CTAGATGCTTGCCACCACTTCATCCACCCTACTTTGATTTTATGGCTAACATCTTCATCAATATCCCCGTCTCTCTGTAGCATTGATCCTAAATATCGAAAGGTATCCTTCCTAGGCACTACTTGACCTTCCAAACTAATATCTTTCTCCTCCCGAGAAGTAGTGCCAAAGTCACATCTCATATACTCAGTTTTAGTTCTACTGAGTCTAAAACCTTTGGACTCCAAAGTCTCCCGCCATAACTCCAGTTTCTGATTCACTCCTGTCCGGCTTTCATCAACTAGCACTACATCGTCCGCGAAAAGCATACATCAAAGAATGTCCCCTTGTATGTCCCTTATGACCTCATCCATCACTAAGGCAAACAAATAAGGACGCAAAGCTGACCCTTGATGTAATCCTATCCTAATCGGGAAGTCATCCGTGTCTCCATCACTTGTTCGAACTCTAGTCACAACATTGTTGTACATGTCCTTAATGAGCCCGACGTACTTCGTTAGGACTTTATGTTTGTCTAAAGCCCACCACATAATATTCCTTGGTATTTTATCATAAGCCTTCTCCAAGTCAATAAAAACCATGTGTAGGTCCTTCTTCTTCTCCCTATATCGCTCCATAACTTGTCTTATTAAGAAAATGGCTTCCATGGTTGACCTTCCGGGCATGAAACCAAATTGGTTCATAGAGACCCGCGTTATTGCTCTCAAGCGATGCTTGATAACTCTCTCCCATAGCTTCATAGTATGGCTCATCAACTTAGTTCCCTGGTAATTAGTACAACTTTGAATATCTCCTTTATTCTTGTAGATCGGTACCAATATACTTCTCCACTCATCACGCATCTTGTTCGATCAAAAAATATGGTTGAACAGCTTGGTTAGCCATACTATAGCTATGTCCCCGAGGCATCTCCACACCTCGATTGGGATACCACCCTATCCCATCGCCTTACCTCCTTTCATCCTTTTCAACGCCTCTCTGACCTCAGATTCTTGGATTCTCCACACAAAGCGCCTATTGGTGTCATCAAAAGAGTCATCCAACTGAAAGGTTATGTCCCTATTCTTACCATTGAACAATTTTTCAAAATACTCTTGCCATCAATGTTGGATCTCATCCTCCTTCACCAAGAGATGCTCCTTTCATCCTTAATGCACTTAACTTGGTTGAAGTCCCTTGTCTTTCTCTCATGAACCCTAGCCATCCTATAAATGTCCTTCTCTCCTTCCTTCATACTCAAATGTTGGTAAAGATCCTCGTACGCTCTACCCTTTGCCACACTTACAGCTCGCTTTGCAGTCTTCTTTGCCACCCTGTACTTCTCTATGTTGTCCACACTCCTGTCATGGTACAAGCGTCTATAGCATTCTTTCTTCTCCTTAATAGCTCTTTGGACTTCCTCGTTCCACCACCAAGTATCTTTAGCCTCGCCTTCACTTCCTTTGGTTACTCCACACACTTCTGAGGCCACCTTCGAATGTTGGTTGCCTCCACTTCCTTTAGTTAATGATCATACAAGTTACATAATTAGTTTTAGGGCTAAGTGTGAAGCAGGTCGGGAGGCCACCGAGTACTGGTCTGCCAGCAATCTCATGTGACAATTTAGACTCCTACACCCTAATCTAACGTGGGGGGTTACAAGGGACGGACAGGGTTGTCACCACCTGCCGCCTACCCCTCAACCGTGGAAAGGGACAATGCATTCACCTGTCTCTCCATACCCAAGCACCACGCTTGCGTATACAGAAACTACCCAAAACCCCCTGGGTCCCCGACCCTACAGATCGACATGTAAAGAAATTGGGCACACCTAACGGCATGATGAACCGCCACCTCAACTTTGCTCTAATTCTGATTATATAAGTTATATGAGTGTTTAAGCATAAAGTCATGTGTTCTACTTTCATGACATACAAACTATAGACTAGTTCATATATCAAGATTATAACACGATAACTATACTCTAGTTCATAAGTATGACTATAAATATCATATGAGAGCAAAACTTTGGAAGAACTTATATCTCTATTCATACCCAATGGTCTCTTCTTCTAAGGAGGCAAGCTCTCCAAGGTAGCTTTGCCTTGCTCTAAAGCTACTAAAAAGTAAAGCTACTACTACTAGAGAGTGAGGTGTGTGAGGTGATGCTCAAGGTGAGTGTATTGAGAGAGAGGGGTACCCCTCTATTTGTATAGGAGCTTAGGCGGTGCTTCGTCTATTCCTGGTGCGAAACTCTAGGCTGCACCGCCTTAGCATGGTGGCATGCCACCGCTAGTCGAAGGAGGGGTTGAGCAGCGCCGGCAAGGGGTCGGACGTCCCTAGACCGTGGCCTCTCACCACCGCCTTCACCTGATAGGTCATGGGCTAGACCAGGATTGCTTCCCCGTGGGGTTTTGCCCCTTTCGAATTGATTTGATGGGTGTCTCCCTTGTTCCTTTGTGCAAATCAATGTCGGAAAGCGCATTTCGGTGAATTATTCCATGTATTTGTGTTTGTGACCTGCAAAATAATGTTGTCCAAATACATGTGGAACTTGGTAAGTAGTAAATGCATATGTTATCAAGATTGCTTATTTCTCCTCTTTTTGTGTCTTAATTGGTGGTCAGATTTGATCGGTAAAGTCCGCCAACAGCAGCTTAGGGGCCCTAGTATCGGAGGAGGCGGTCGGGCTAGGGAGGGGCGGGGGCGCCATGGCTAGAGGGAGGTCACCGCGGCCGGAGCTCGCCATCGTGGGATGGTGAAGGGGGAAGAAGGTGGCCGCCACGAGGGTTCGTCAGAGCTCCACGACTGTAGAGCTCTGACGAATCCTAGCGCGCCACGGTGGGGCGGTGACCGCCCGCAAGGGCGAGGACGAGGAGGAAGGCGGGGTCCAGGACGAGCACGGGATGCTCGACGGCGAGGAAGTGGGCGATGGAGGAGGGGCGCGGGGAGGGAGAAAGGGGTGGGGGAGGAGACCGATGTGAGGTTGAAAAAGGATCACGCGATCCCTCAGCGCGTCGCGGCTTAACGTGGTCATATATTTTATAACTCTACAAACTCTTAGATCTAAAGCTAGTGGTACACCTAGTACTTTTGTATGACTCATTCTATTTATAGTTTAGATTAGATATAAATATTTAAACTACTTTAGTTAGTTTACATATTACAGATCGATTAGACTTCGAACAAGCCCACTACTACGCAGGTCACACACAGCCCCACGCGACTTGCGACTCCTAGCACCGCCGCCACCGCTCCCCCTCCTCCCCCTTCGGCATATCGCCGGAGGCCGGAGGGAGTGGGGATCCATCGTTTTTAATAAGTTTTTCAGTAGATCGAGTCCTTAGGGTTAGAGTCTCTCCGTGCCAAGTTTGTTGGTTTTGGGATTTATCTCCTCCTCCTTCTCTCTAGCGACGGCGAGAGGGCAGGGTGGAATCATTTTCTCCATGGCGACTCTATTAAAGATGGGGCGACAACTACGTCGTCAGCATTCTCACCGGTATGAGAACATGGAGACTTTTATTTCCAGACAGCAACATCAAGGCAGAGATTGTGTCGCCGCCATGGAATAATTTTCTTCGGTCTCTTCTCTGTTTTATTGTGGTTAGATCTGGCCACGATGAAGGACTAGGGAGAATAAGTTTCGGATCAGACTTCCTTATTCTTTGGTGGCAGAAAGAAGAAGATGGAAGACACCAGAAAGAAGAAGTTTCTCAACTCCGCCTATATGAATGTTGGCCATCGTTCGTTGGGCATATGTTCTCAGGCCTTTTGCCGAGTGTTTGCATGTGCGGTCATCCATACTGCAAAGCGTCGTACAGGTTTGGTTCTGAGATCTGAAGCTATTTACAGCGTGGGTATAATTTAGATGAAAATTGGCTTCTGGACATTTGTATAATCCAGAGTGCTTGTAACATGTTGATGTACAGAGTTATTATCTAATATAATTCTTCTTTCGTCAAAAAAAACAGACTTGGAACGACTTGTGCCAAACGGCCCCCATTGTCGTATGGCAACACCTCTAAACATACATGAAAAATTCCAACGAAAATGCACACGGGAGTATAAAATCATCTATGTATATGCAAAATTTGATTTTAGGAAAAAACATTCCCAGGGATAAATAAATAAAAAATCAGCAGTACAACTAGTTTCAGGTTGCCGATTCAGACTGGAATGGCTGCACAAGCAAATATTTTATCCTGATTTCTCCTCCTGCTTTTCCTTATACAAATTTTTTGTTTGACCTCTAATTTCGTATGCATATTGATGATTTGCAATTTTTCTTTATCTCCATTCACATTTTAATTGGTTTTCACCTGTCTAGCCAAATCTGACTCTATCTATCCATTTAGTTACCCCACCTTTTCTCGCGGAAATGAAGTTTTCTGAAGTTTTATATATCCAACTCAAGACGCACATATACAAGCAAACATTCCGTACGTTGCAACAGGACATATATTTCTAGCGCGATGCTCACACAAATGATAATGAACTTGTAAGCTTTTGCTGGATTTAATTGGGCTTTGTCTAACCTTAAATCAAATAAGTTCCACGCGTATAATAATTTCTAGTGCAATAAATGATTATTTTAGTATGGAAAATTGACAAGATATTGACTTGGCTTAAATAGGTGACTATTGTGTGCAATTGTTGTGTGTTAAGAAAATGCGGAAGGTGACTCGCACATGACATGAATGATGCCACACCAACAAAGGTTTTACATCTCCAAACTTAAAAGCAATGTGAAGAGTGAGGGGAGATAAAACGAAGAGAGCAATTTTTTATCTTTAATATTATATATATATGATATATGCACACATTAATAGTAACATATCTTTTAGGAGACACAGGTATAGATATACAGTACACACTAGTAGTAACATGTTTTTTCAGGACATGGAGGGGTAGTACAATAATACTCCCATTAGATTCGTATATGCTACGATGATGTAACTATCACGATTGGCAAGCATTGTTATGTCATACATACATGCCCAAGCATTAACATACGGTGGCGATCACAGTCCACCAGCTGCAACGGCCGGACTTGAAGGAGCACACTTCCACATGTCGACGACGGCAGCGAGCGCCTGGTGAGCTGGCCCGTCTGGTACCGACGCCTTCGAAGCCTCCGCCTGCAGCTGACGCGCTTTCTTCCGCGCAATGGGCCCTTCTCGCCCACCATCAGCTCCCTCGTCACCGCGGCCACCCCCTCCCGCGGCACCACCCCGTCCTCCCGGGCGCTCACTCGCAGCGCCAGACCGACGTGCTCTAGCTTCACGGCGTTCATCCTCTGCTCGGCGAATAGCGGCCATGCCAGCACCGGCACGCCCGAGGACACCGTCTCCAGCGACGAGTTCCACCCGCAGTGCGACAGGAACCCACCCCACCGCCCCCCCCCCCCCCCAGGCGCGGTGGCCCAGGATCTCCACCTGCGGTGCCCACTGCGGCACGACAAGCCCGGTGCCCCTTGTCCTCTCCGTGAACCCCTCCGGCAGGTAGATGAGCGGGTCGTCGACATGGTCCCCGGGGCCAAAGTAGCTCCCGCAGCTGTCCTTGTCGCTGGGGAGCCGCACAACCCACAGGAACCTCTGCCCACTCGCCTCCAGCCCGGCTGCCAGCTCCGTGGTCTGCGTGCTGGACAGCGTGCCGCCGCTGCCAAAACACACGTACAAGACCGACCCGTCCGGCTGCCCGTCCAGCCACCGCATGCAGTGGTGCTCGGCGGACTTGTCGGAGCACGAGCGGAGGAACGGGCCGACGGCGTAGGTCGGAGGGTACACGCCCTTGTCGGAAAGATCTTTGAGCGCCTCCAGAGTCTCGTACTCCATGGCGTCCAAGGTGTGGACGATGAAGCCGTCGCCGTGGAGGTAGTCGAGGCACAGGTCGACCAGGAGGTCGTACACGGGGTTGGCACGGTCCTGGAGGGTTCGATGAGGTCGGCTCCGTGCAGCGGCAGGCACCCCGGGATGATGACGGGCTCTGGGAGGTCGCGGAACTCGCAGGTGGTGGTTCTGGCGAGCTCTGGGGCGTCGAGCAGCATGGACAGCGACATAACGCTCGACGGGTAGAAGACGTATCGCGTCACGCCGAGGTCTTGGGCAACGGCGAGCGCTGCTGGGCACAGCATGTCGGTCAGGAAGACCGTGATGCCGGCGGGAGTGTCGAGAAGGGAACGGAGCAGCGCGAGGAGGTGTGGGAGCGTGCGCTGGACGACGATGAGGATGCGGGTCACGATGTGCGCGTCGGCAGGGAGGTCGTCGATGGGCACCTCCGGGAGCGCGGTGGTGGAGACGCCCGGCGGGAGGGAGGCCAGCGCGGAAGAATTGGTTGGCGAGGAGAGGTTGGTGTAGGTGACGATCGTGGAGGTGAAGCCGTGGTGTGCGGCGAGTCTCCTGGCGAGCTCGGCCACCGGGGCGACGTGCCCCACGCCGGGACTCGTGAGCTTGACGACCTGCGGTGCATGCACTTGTGACATTGTCAGCTAGCTCAACAAGTGATCACAAGTTGCTGTTTACCTTGTGTTATGGCAGTGGCACTGGATTGTATCCTCATAGTAGTCATATATATAGCGGAGGATGGGAAGTAAATGCCCGCGGTAAACTGGCAAGTGATAAGGGATGTGTGATGCTTGTGGCTCTAGTACGGTTTCAATTTATTTCTACATCGTACCGATCGCAAAGGTATTTTGGATGCTCCCCTTAGGCCTGGATGATCCATCATTTTGCAGAAATGTATCCCCACAACTAGTTTTGGATGTTTAGGTATTTATACCCCCTCACCCCTTGTCTTGCGGCAGCTCTTTCCAACCACGAAGAACACCTCCCTAGAGGTCCTTTGAGCTCTTCCCTCTCTCACTTTGTAAGGATTCTTTGATTCTTGTGATATTTAGATAGTTGGGCCGAGACGTTGGGTGTGTAAGCATCCAAGCACACAAGTTAAGTGGTGAGTTTTAGTGGTTAATGACAACCATGCAATTGTAACTCATGTGTGTTTTGTAGGAAATTTTTTTGCTTATTAGGTCACAAGGCTTGAGAAGAATGTGACCCCTAAATCCTTAATACTGATGCAAGATGATCAAGGACTCAGATTGAAGGATGATATTGTTTTAGTCTTTGAACGTCAACGATTGTGTTTTAATAGGCTATTCAACCCCTCCCCCCAACCTCTACCCATCCACAAATCCTTTTAGAGTGTAAAGATGCAAACTTGGAGAACAAATGGTCCAGAGAGCTAGTTCAAGTAGACTTGAATCCATAGAATCAAGCTTAACTTAAATTGGAGAAAGTATGAAGAAACAAGAGTTAAAATAGAAAAATTGCATGCTCGGATGGTCCACAAATCATAGAAATGAGCGTGTCGGACAGAGTTTGTTGATGTTCAGTCTGCCCCTTTGATGAGGGCATTGTTCAAGTTAACAAGTCGTAGGGTCTAGCCAAGATGAAGAAGAACTCTCCAGGTAAAGTTGTTGTGAACCATTGTGTGTGCACTATTGAGATAAAGTGGACAGATGGTTCGGGCAGTTGGGTACTCGAGCGCTGGATAATAGTCACAGAGTTGACGGAAGGCTAAAGTTTGCACTGTTCAAGAGCACTGCTCATTTCAATAGGGAAGACAATCCAGCCTAGCTCTTTGTGAGCGTTAGACAAGTGCTAGACATGACATTAGCTAGCTATTTGGAAAGACACCGTCTAACCAGTGTATATTTTGCAAGGTGGTTTACCTACACTTTTCCAATGGCTCTCATCAGCCTTCTATGGGTATGTGTGCTATATAAACACCTTATGGGGTTCCTTCGAGTTCTCATGACAATGTGGAAACGTGGTCATATAGAAGCCAAAGAGGAGAGATGAGAGGATCAACTATGTATCTTAGTGCTCTAGGACCTTAGTGCTCAAGTGAGAGTCAGTTATCCTTATTATCCTTGGTGTATATGAGCATCTAGGCAGTCTTAATGACTATGGTGTATACAAGAAGTTGTCCATTCTGATGCCCTAGAGTCCAAATGGCTCATATCCACTCTACACGCTGAGTGAACCACATCTACCACCAGCTCACTTACGCTTTTGTTCCCATTTCACGTAAAAGGGTTAACCCAGGGATGATGGTATAGACTCTTGAAGCCTTATATATTTGTCTAACCCACCTTAATTAAATAACCGAGGTGGGACTAAACCCCGCATAATATCTCATTAATAAGCACATAGGCTACAATGGGAAAAATTCCAAGCTAGGCCAGATGTGACATGCACCCCCCCTCAAAGAGCCCGATGTCCTCGTCGGCCCAACACACCAACAACCAGGCAAATGATGATCAAGAACGTCCCCTCTTAGCACTCATGACCATGCGTCCAGTATCCCTGACCCACAAGAGACCGTGTCCGTGAAGGTCAACTCGGATACCACTTATAACGTCCAGACTCCAAACGGCTTAGATCCACTATGCACGCTGAGTGAACCACACCTACCACCAGCCCACTTATACATTTTTCTTCGCTTCACGTAAAAGGGTTAAACCAGGGATGGTGGTATAGATTCTAGAAGCATTATATGTTTGTCTAACCCACCATAAACAACCAAGGTGGGACTATACCCTTCATAATATCTCATTATAAAGCACATGGGCCACTGTGGGCCAAATTCCAAACTGGTCCGAATGTGAAATCCATCAGCCAGAGCACATGAATTCTTGGGGACCTTCCGAAGATGTTAACCCTTCGATCTTGGTGTCAACAAGCGTTGCAGCTACTTGGTAACATGGGCTACGAGAAGCCTCCTTCCATGGTGCAGAAGTTCTGTAGTGAAGTTGGTGCCAAGGTGACTAGAAGAGTTGGGCGGCGGTGGTGAGTCAAGGTGGCTTATGACAGTTGCCTTTGTTGGCAAAAGCCTTGTAGCAAGCCCAACACCATAACTGGGCCAAAGTTTGTTGACCCGGAGCATGACTAGGGTGGAGCTCCAACATGTACTATGCGTTGGGTTTCAAAGGCTAGTCCTCAGACGACACGTGGCCGCCCTTGTACTAGGGACGATCAATGGGCACACGACAACGAACCCACTAGAGGTCTTCGCTTAGGCGCGTGGAGTGCTCGTTGTTCAGTGTGTAGCCTGAGCCTGTGAAGCCATTGATGGACCCCTTGATGAGGATGGGATTCCGAGTGATGACAAGGTTGTGAGATAGTCACTCAGACCATGGTAGGATAGGTAAGCGAAGCGCCTCATGAAAGCTCTAACCTTGTGCCCTTGAGGGATCGTTTAGGCCCTGCTCGGGCTTGACCGGTTTGAACTCACCGAAGGCAGCGCCGCCTCAAAGATGGGTCGGTGACCTTCTTATCCTTTGAAAGATGCCAACCCGATGGTAGTTACCCCATGCTGGCTGGGCGATCAGTCTCAAAAAAATAGAATCCCTACGCTGTCATTCCTAGAGATGGCCTGGAGAGATTACGAGTGGCCTGGGGTTCCTAACGAATATCTAACACTAGGGTTACGTAAGCCTCCGCTAAACATAATCACATGGATATTAACCCCCAAACTGATTCTACCAATCAGCTAGGGACTCGGGGGACAACAACTAGTGGGTGTGCTCGAGCACCACCGCTAGATATCGATCAAAGTCTTTTAGGGCTTCAATCGCCCTAAGCAATGACTGGTCTATTCTTCAACTAGGGCTTCAGTCAAATGAACATGACCCAACGAATGGGATCTAGAGGTCCATGCATGGGCTCACTCAGCCCCTTATCACTTGAGGGTTCAAACGAACTAGCAGGGCCTAATGGTGAGGGTTCGGAGATCCCTGCTCGGACCCTCTCAGTCCTGAGCAACACTATGAATCACTCAACGGGAGCATGCTACAAAGTTGACATCTGACACCCTATGACAAGGTGTGGGGTTGTCCCCCTGCCCTTACGACGAAGGCACTGCTTGCCTACTTCAGAAGGGGTAAAGGGGTCACGCCTAGGGCATGGTGAAAAGGCCTCACCACTCATGGGAGAGTTGGGCGCTCGAGGTCACACTCTTGCCTCTATGCATTCCAATCCCTAGTATGTATGCCAAGGGACAGGAGAACTGAGGACAGGCGGACTAGAGTGTCCATCCCTCGGCTCATCCACTCCAGCCACCTGCAAAAGCTGAGGTTGACGTCGTTTGGCAGGGGCTGTCGGCCATGGCCATTAAACTGGAGCAAGGAGATGCCCCCAATGGTCCGAAGACCAACACAGCGAGACTACAAACTTGCCTTGGCGGCCAAGAGAGCCATCTTCCTTGTTAGCCAAGAATAACCTTGAATCTAGAATCGCCTTTTTTAATTGCTCTTGCCCCCCCCCATTATATAAGACGGGGCAAGGGACACCTAGAAAGAGGACAAACTATCAATCCACCATTAGAGAACTCACTCTTCGCTCTCCTACCCCATATTATAAACTCTCGAACACTCTGACATGAAATCTCTCTATTGGACATATGGCTCGACACCTGAACCAGTATAGACCCTCCTATGTCTTGAGTGTTAAACATAGAAGTCTCTCACATCGACCATGTAATCACTAGCTGTGGTTATGAACCCACGACAATACATATGCATCTGTTTGGGGCTTATGGGACTTAATTCACCTAAAATCCCTTATAATTTGGAATAAATTTTGTAAGTTCCAATGCCTTACATTTTAGGACAAATATATTAGGTGACATCTTCTAAATAAATTTCCAGATGGTTCTCTCATTTTTAATGGTTTATGATCCACTTAAAGTAATTTTATCTTCATCGTTTCTAGTTTGGGACCATATTACTCAACTCCAACCAACGGTCGGAAACTGATGGCCATGCAGTCTTTTAAGGACAATCTCAGTGGAAGTGTCATTTGCATTTAATATAACTGTCACATAGGCGTTTTTGATGACATGACAACGTTTTTTATGGCACGTACCAACATTATGAGTCATGAAATTAAATATATATGAGACTATAGAATGGAACTATGCATTGAGGATGGATGTTTTATCTATATTTTATTTTATTTTACATGATGTGGTAGTCTTGAAGACAACGCCATGAAACTGTCCATTGAAATTGACCTTAAATTGTGCCAAGACACAAGAGGGTTTAAATCGTGTTAACTTACTCATTTTCTAGAGTGAATGCATGTCTAAAATGCGCCTCATTTTCTAGAGTGAATGCATGTCTAAAATGCAACTAAAGGAACTTCTTTTCACCAATTAAAATAAATAACAATAATAGTATATATTGCCATTTCCCAAGGTTATTAATATAGACGATCTCATTTATGTTATGAAGAACCTCATTGATATTTGAAGACATTGTTGCATGCTCAATTGAGTTCGGAGAAGTCTCACAAAGGGAGCGAACGGTCAAATACTTCGATATCTTGACAAGGACGATACTTTGGACCTTGGACAAGGACGACACTGTTAATTTCGATAACGACTGAATCACATAAATATCTAAAGCCAACGTAAGTCCTTTAT